ATACCAAAGCCTTCCTTGAACTTCGCAATACCCGCCCGAAAATCACGCATGGGTGAAAGGGAGGAACCTGGAAGACCACATGGAAAAGATCCCATGGAAATTGACACCGTCTTCGGAGTCGACTAGAACCTAAGCGCGCGCGAAGCGCGCGTGGTTCTAATCAAGAATATGTGGACCCTGGGCGTTTTCTTGAAGCATCTTTTGTGCAGAGGTCTGATGTACGTCTGGACCCGGACTACTGTTTAAGAAAGCGCTCGGAGTGAAGTCGGTCTTCTGTGCCGAGATCTTCCCTAACTCTCAGCAGGGGTGCAGTCCTACTGCCTCGCTCCACATTCGTGGTCGATCTGTCGACGGAGCACAGACATGGGCTAAGGCGCGTGCCTCTGCGACGGGCCTCGTGTTTCCTCTGCAGGAGTCGGCGCGCACCGTCGCCAAAATCCAGGCGGCACTGGCGTCGTGCTTCGGGGGGGAGTGCTCTCCCCCTCAGCGCCCACGTCTCGGATCCACGGATCTCTACCCGGCTGCCCACAAAACTAGGACAGGGACCGAGGGGGCGGTATTTTCCGCCCCGCCGCCGGGCCCATTCCTCGACACATGGGCGCCTCCCGGCGCCAGGAGGCGCCGGGAGAAGCAGTTGCGTGAGCTGATTCTCTACCCGTTGCTATCCTACCGCCTCGTCCTCCCTGACCCTAACCCATGTTAGCGTGTGCATGAACACAGTGATTATTCGGCCTTGGAAGCACAGCTTTGGTAGTGGCAGGGTCTCGAGGTTCCCTATAGGCCATTCTTCGAGGTTTTCTTTGGCACTTCTCGTGCATCTAAGCGCTGTTGGGGTCAAAAGGGGGTTTCTTCCTTACCCGGTGCACCTTATCCCACTCCTCCGACATCGCATGTTTTCCCTGTGACGTGTGCCTTTGGGGAGCTCGACCCCTTCCCTGAGACAGTTCCTTCATCCCGAGCAGTTTCTGTTATGGCCCCCACGAGGGGTTCACTCCGCTCGGGAGCTCCCGAGCGAAGTGAACCCCCACCCCCCTTAGAAATCGTGTGGTGGGGGGGGGGGGTAGGCCTCACATGTGGCCACCCGATCTGGGCATGGGAAATCTGTGACGGTGCTCTTTGAGAACCACGGCGGACTCCTTGCCCCCCTCGCGCCCCTGGAACTCCTCCGCGCGGGACCCCCCCCCCGGGGCCTTTCCGGGACCCCGGCCTCCCCTCCCGGGTATGGGGAAGGGATCGAAGGGTACGGGCGTCCTTCCGACGACCGCGGTGGCGACCAGAAGAGGGGCGTGTATCATCTCACGCGCGCGACCGGTATGCACCGTAATTACCGCGTTGGCGTCTCCCGAGGTTTCCTCGATCTGCGACTCAGGAATGGTGCAGTGCATGGTTGTTCGGCCCTCAGAGCCAGAGGAACGTTGCACCGTACCGCGTCGGAGCGAGGTCTGGCGGAAGTCCAACCACGGTGCGGTGCATGAGCGCCGTGCTCGTACATCTGACTCTGGACTTATGCTGTTCTAGCCTGCGTTAGGCTTGACCACCAGAGAGAATTTCGAGCACCCGGAGAGTTCCGAAACTGGAGGGTTTGCACGCGTCGGGCCCTGGGAGGCGATACTCGTCCGACACTGTTTCGATACTTGTCTGGGCGCTCGGAATTATTTCTGGGATGTGGCCCTTGAGTGCGATGGGTTCAACATAGCCTGGGACGCCCCCCAGGACACCCCCGGAACCTCCCCGCGGGACCCTGTCAACCGCCTCTGTGTGGGGGGAAGGGATCAAAGGGAAGGGGCGCCCCCTCGATCGAAGCACGACTGCGACTGCGACCTCACTCCGTTCTCTTCGACTTGACAGGAAGCGACATGAAACCTCGTCTCTGGGGGCCAACCGGGGTCGACCGGCCCAGAACTCCCCCATCGCACGCGCCGACAGGGCCGGCGGATTTTGCGCCACGTTCCGCTCCTCTGATCAAGCCGAGGACAAGATCCACGAGGAAGCGGCCAGCATCGACACTGGCCAGCTGGAGGACCTCTTCGCGGACCAGGCCCATTGTCGCCTCCGTGATTCTGCGCCGGCGGCGCGCCCGCGAAGGAGGAGGGGGGCCGTGGCGGCCGAGGGGGACTGGCGTCGGGAGGCCGCGAGAGAACGGGAGGCGGGGGATCGAGGCAGCGCACGCATGGATTGAGGCGCGTGGATTGGCGGCGGGCCCCGCTTCCGTGCAGAATCGGCGCGCCCCGACGCCAGGTCGCCGCATGCTCAGCGGGTGCCCTCCTCGGTCCATGGGCATGGCGCCTGCGCGCCAGACCCCAACCCGTGCGTACGTGTGCCCGAGGGGAGAGGATACAGTCAAAAACTCTAGTAAAGACGCGCGACTTTGCTCAGGGATTCCCTTGCTCGCCCTTGCTCTTCCTTGCTCTTGCGTCCGTGGGGGTTCCGTCGTCCGCCGCCCCAAAAATCCCAACTTCGGCTTCCAAGGGTCTTGCGTCCTTACCGCGCGTCCTTATTAGGGTGTTTGACTGTAGTTTGGGTGGTTCCTGGGCCCGGGGTGCGCTCCATCAGCTGCGCCCCGTCGACAGGCGTCCGAGGGTGCCAGGACCGTCCCGGACGGCCTCCCGAGGTCTGAGTCACGGCCCAGCAGCCGACCAGCTCAGACCCCCCCATCGACGGAAAGTGTTCTGCAAGTTTGGGCCTTTGGTGGTCCTCGTCGGGCCGAGAGGCCGTCGACAAAATCATGGCGACCTGAAGCACAAATTTGACCCAGGGAAGAGGTCCAGATATCCGCGGGTTCCACGCCGTGAGAAGACCTCGACGTCTGGAGGGAGGGAAGGCGGCAGCGCATCCTGGGGCCATTATGGGGCCATATGGACTGTCTTGGCCTCGTCCTGGGAGGGGGGGCATCTCGGCTATTCTCTACGGTCTTGGAGGCCATGTCGGGGCCCTTATGGGGCGGAGAAGCCGCTGGTTCCCATCCTTCCCGCCGCTTGGGCCGGAGGCCACCTGGCACTTTCGGGAGGCGCCCAGAGACATAGACATCCTGGCGCGCCCACGCCCCCTCTGGCAGGCCGGGGAGCCTGCTCCTGCCGCTGCTTCGTTTCTGTGAGTTGGCCTCTTCGTTCCAAGGCTCTTTTGAACACTCTGCGCACGGTCGTGTGCGACCTGACAGCCGCCTTTGGCTGCCCCGTCTCACGCTGCGGCGCGGCCCTGCCGTGCTGACTCCCAGTCAGTGAGGTCGGGGCCGCGGGTCGAGCAGCCCGCCGCCGTGCACGGGTCTGGGTCGTGGACAAGATGCTCGCTTGGGCCTCCTGGGCTCCTTGGGGCCCTCCTGGGGCCCTCTTGGGGGCCTCGTCGGGGCCGGTCGAGCGCCTCCAGGGGCCATCCTTTGGGTGGGCGCCTCCGTGGGCACCCTGCGCCTGGCCCCAGCCAGGCACGGCGGTGGCCGCGGTGGTGGCGCGCGCGTGCCCTGTGCGTGAAGGCACCCTGCGGCGACTTCTCGCCACGCCGCGGCGGCCCCGCGGGAGGCGTCTCGAGGCACTCCGCGAGAGAGAAGCCGGCGCCGGCTCCCCGCCGCCGGGGCGGGCCCGGCTGCTTGCCCGAGGGGCCGAGCCCCCGCAGGGCTCCTCAGAGGCACCCCGGGGGCTCCCGGCAGCTTCGCTGCGCGTCGGGTCCCCGCGGCTCGATGTGTTCCCGAGGCGGGAGGGAGGGGCGGACGGGGGGGGCGGAGGGGGGGGGAGAATGAGGCGGCGGGGGACGAGGATGAGGAGAAGGGGGCGGGGGCGGCAGCAGGGGTGGAGGCGAAGGAGGAGGAGGAGCAGGGGGAGGAGGAAGACCAGTGTAAACCCAAGCTTCATCAACGATGTTGGAATACATCCTCCCTCCAAGCTCCCTCTTCATAGATTCCTGCAACGGTTCATCTCCACTGATAGAAATGCTTCGTCTGAACACAACCTTGTGAATACTCTGAAGCATGCCCAAACATTGGTCTCGGGAATCCAACGCCACGGATCAACCTGATTGTTGCGTCTTGACGAGCCTGAATTGTGCCAGAACGCCATTCTTGGGACTTCAACACCGCGAATCAACGTAACGGTTGCGCCCGCGTAATCCTGAGTCGTTGCAGCACATATATCTGGTACGCTGATCATGTGAATCCGTAGAACTCTTCTAATTTTCATGAGCGAATGTGCGCGGCGCTGAGGCGAGAACCACATTTTGAAAAGGAGCCGCCCTCAAGCCGTGAAGCTCTTCAGATTTGTAAATCGAATGTACGCGTCGCTAAGGCGAGAGCCACATTTTGAAAACCACACGTCCTCAGTCCGTGAAACGCTTGCACATGTTTAAAACGAATGGGCGCGGTGCTAAGGCGAGGCGAGAGCCACATTTTGAAAAGGAGCCGCCATCAATCCGTGTAGCTCTTTTTGCCAAAAAAGAAAAGAAAAAAACAGCACAAACGAATTTGCGCAGCGCCAAGGCGAGAGCCACATGTTGAGAACCAGTCGTTTCCAAACCGTGAAACTGTTGCAACTGTTCAAAACGAATGTGCGCGGCGCTATGGCGAGAGCCACATTTTGGAAACCACCCGCCCTCCATATGCGAAGCTGTTGCCAATGCTTGAGCATCAGGGTCATAAATGATGAGGAAGTCTCAGGCGAAACGCCAGGCCCGCCCTAAAAACTTGCCTCGGGGTGCGACGGGGAGAAGTTATTTATCAGGACGAGGAATCGAGGACGAGGAGGAGGAGGGGGAGGAGGAGGAGGGGGAGGAGGAGGAGGAGGAGCTTGAGGGCGCTGAGGGTTGAGGAGGTTGATGAGGTCTAGATCTAGGTGTAGGCGTCGGGGGGCTGGTTGAGGAGGAGAATGCGAAGGGGGACGGGGCGGGGGAGAGGGGGGGGGGGGAGAACGAGGAGAACGTGAGGAGGGGAGGCCAGAGGCTGGAAGCGGAGCGGGGGGAGCACGAGGAGGCACGGGACGGAGGGAGATCAGGGCGGCCCCTCCCCTGGCCCTCTCCTGGGCTCGAGGGCCCCGAGGCAGCCCTGCTCGCGCCCCGGACCGCGGCGAGCGCGCCCGGGTTTTTTTTTGTCGGCCGCTATGGGTGCGGTCCTCGGCCGCGGTGGTGGCGGGCAGGACCACAGGGGGGCTTCGTCCTCGACCCGCCGTCGTCGTCGTCGCCGTGTCGGTGCCGCCGTCGTCGGCGTCGTTGTCGTCCGCCGCGTCGTCGACGACCCGCCGTCGTCGTCGTCGTCGTCGTCGTCGTCGTCGTCGTCGTCGTCGTCGTCGTCGTCGTCGTCGTCGGCCGCCGCCGCCGCCGCCGCCGCCGCCGCCGCTGCCGCCGCCGTCGTCGTCGTCGTCGTCGCCGCGTCGGTGCCGCCCGTGCCTCCGCTGCCTGCAGACCTCGCGCCCCCGGGGGGCGCGCGCGCGGCCGACCAAGGCCAGGAAGGCCAGAAGGCAGGGCCGACGGGAGGTGCCGAGCGGCCCCAGTGGCAGCCCCGGAGGGGGGCTCCGAGCGGCCCGGGGAGGGCCTGCGGATGGGAGGGAGGCTCCGAGCGGTGCCGAGTGCAGTCCCAAAGCGGGGCTCCGAGCGGCTCTTGGGGGGGGGAGGGGCTCCAGGTGCAGCCACAGAGGGGCGGGCGCACGGGGGTGGGCGGGGGGGGGCCTCCTGCTCCTCTTCCGGCCTCTGGCCTCCCCTCCTCTTTCTCCTCCTTCTCCTGCTGCTTCGCCTTCTCCTGCTCGTCAGCCTCTTCCTCCTCAACCTCTTCCTCCTCAACATTTTCTTCCTCCTACACGTCAACAGTACATTCCTCCTCCTCCTCCTCCTCCTCCTCCTCCTCCTCCTACTCGTCCTCCTCCTCCTCCTCCTCTTCCTGATTCGCCTCCGCCCCCGTCTCCGCTCCCGTCTGCTACTGGCACGGAAGGTGGTACGCAGAGACATGGCGCCGTCATCTGTGCCCACTGCGTGCGTTGCGCATCCTTGCTCCCCCCTCGCGGTTGTGGTGGACAGGGCCAGGGAGCTCCGAGCGGCCCCAGTGCAGCCACGGACGGAGACGAGGACCACGGACCATTGTTCCGGACTTGCTCAGGGAACGTCACAGCGATTCGTCGAACGGCCCAGCGTGTCCGGGAAGCGTTTTCCTACTCGTTCCCAACGCGTGTGGCGCGAGCCGTTGCGCAGCTCCTTGGCGCCGCTGCCTGAGCTCACCACCCACCAAGCCACCCCAACCCAACCCGAAGGCTCAGATTTGCCCTCGATTTCCAGTGGGGGGGGGTCGGGAAACATCGAGAAAACACATGTGGAACCCTTACCCCCCCCAACCCGAAATTCGGGTCTTCGGGTTGGGTTGGGGTGGTCTGGTAGGTAGTCATGAGCTCGTGCGCAGCTTCCACTTCAAGCGGGCAAGCTTCCTTGGGCATCCTTTGCAGCTTCCCTGCAAGCGCCTCTATACAGGCTCGCAGGCGGTCCCCGGACTGCCCGTGCTGGCTGCTCCGCCATCCGCGCCTGGGACGCCACGAGTGGCCTTGCTTGTCGCCTTTCGGAGCCCCTGGGGGGGGTTCGTCGTACCGGCTTGCTTCATGTCGAGTATTTTTGGTCGGAACGCACCCCGCGGTGTGTTTGGGGGCCGATTTGGGTTATTTGTCCCAGACCCCCCAAGGTATTGAAGACCTCGGTGCGTCTTGTGTGTAGTTTCTTTTGGGGCCGACTTGGGGCTCCAGGACAATCAGTTCATTGAGAACATTATGCTCCCTACTCCTCCTGATCAATCCTGGATATGGGAGAGTGCAGAGACCCGTCGTTGATGGCCCACTGCGTTCGAATCCTTGCTTTCCCCCCGCTCTCCGCCCTCCTTGCCCTCCCCGCCCCGTCCGGACCCGCATCCCTCCTCCTCGGTCCCCTCTCGCCCCAAGTCCCTGATGATAGCGATAATGAGGACGATGACGACGACGATGGCGATGAAGATTGTGAGTTTGAGCATGATGATTGTAATATCGGGATGATTCTGAACGGCTGACTGGAGGAATGAGCGCTTTACGTCGTGAGTTACAACGAGGTTGAGGAGGAGGGAGGAGCAAGAGGAACGGAGGGCTGGGATGACAGAAAATGGAGAGAGGAGAGGACAGGCTGGCCGGCGCGGCGGGCGTCTTCAACAGGACGATTGGGACAAGGGCTGGGGCAAGGGCGAGGGGAAGGACAAGGACTGGGACGAGAACTGGGACGACTGGGATCCCAGCTGGGACGAGGACTGGGATGCAGATTGGGACGACAAGGGCAAAGGATTTGGCGACGATTCCGAGGGCAAGGGCAAGGATAAAGACAAAGACAAGGGTAAGGGCAAGGGCAAGGATAAGGACAAGGATAAGGACAAAGACAAGGACAAGGACAAAGACAAGGACAAGGGCAAGAAGGGCAAGGGCAAGGACAAAGACAAGGGCAAGGTCAAGGGCAAGGGGCCCTACGGGACCTACTACTACGTCGACGGTAAGGTTTACGACTTCAGCGAGTGGAAGTTCCTCCATCCTGGCGGCGAGCTCTGGTTTGCCCGCTCTTACCAGCGCGACATCTCCGCGGCGGTGAACGCGTACCACTCGAACCCCGATGCCCTGAAGCCCATACTGGACAAGTACGAAGTGAAGATGGAGGGGAAGATGGAGGGCAAGGCCGAGAGGGGGAGCTGTGCCCTGTCGGCGGAGGAAGAGGAGCAGGGAGGCATGCGTCATGTCGACCCTGTGGCGCTACCTGAAACCCGAAACATGAAACCTGAGGAGGAGGAGGAGGAGGAGGAGGAGGAGGAGGATGAGGAGGAGGAGGAGGAGGAGGAGAGGAGGAGGAGGAGGAGGAGGAGGAGGAGGAGGAGGAGGAGGAGGAGGAGGAGAGGGAGGAGGAGGAGGAGGAGGAGCAGGAGGAGCAGGAGGAGGAGGGTACGTACTGAGGGTGCTGATCCCCCACCGCCGGTGCCCCGCAGGCCCGGTGTTCGGGCACCCCTGCCCTCGCGCGAGCCTGCTCCTGCTGGCCAGGCCAGCCGGCCGCGCACGCCGGGCAGGGCCCGGGCCCGCAAGCCGGGCCCCAGCGAAGCCCCGTCGGCGGTGGGCGCCTTCTTCCAGCTGCGGAACCCCGTCGGCGGTGTGCTCCTCCTCCTCCTCCTCCTCCTCCTCCTCCTCCTCCTCCGCCTCCTCCTCTCTCCGCCTCCTCCTCCTCCTCCGCCTCCTCCTCCTCCGCCTCCTCCTCCTCCTCCGCCTCCTCCTCCTCCTCCGCCTCCTCCGTCTCCTTCTCCTCCCCCTCCTCCTGGCGAGGCGCCAGAGGACATCTTCACCCAGTACATGAACGCGCCGGCGTTTATTCTGCCTCCCGACTTCGACGGGCGTAAGCAGGGCGAGAACGTGCCCGTGTACGACTGGAGCAAGGGCTTCATGCCAGCGCTCAGGAGGAAGATCAACACGCCAGCGATGAAGAAGAAGATCCGCGAGGCGAATTGGAGGAGGAGGAGGAGGAGGAGGAGGAGGATGAGGAGGAGGAGGAGGAGGAAGGGTGGAGGCGGAGCAGGATGGGGCGGAGGAGGAGGGGGAGGAGGAGGAGATCTGTGAGGCGGACAAGGCCTTCGACATCGTAGGTCCGCGGTCGCCTGACCCTTGCGAGCGTCTGGTGGGGAGGGGCGGGGCAGGGAAGATCGAGCAAGCCCTGGCCGGCCTACGAAAGCAGCCTGCAAAGAGCCGATCCTGCAAAGATTCGCCCCGCCGCGAGGCAGTGTAATTTTTCGGGGTGAGGGTGCTGCTATCTTGGGGACCCAGGCATCGGGCGTCTCGGCGTCTCGAAAAAATCGAGACGGAGGCTTTCCATAGTTTTCGGCCTCTCGGGGCCCTTTCCAGGCTTCAGAACCGTCGAACAGCGACCAGGGACGAAAACCCGGCCCCAGGGAAGTGGTCGAGAGTTCTGGAGCCCGTGCCTCCGCCGGATGTCCGGGGAGGACTCTTCCAGGAGGAGGAAGGGCTTGGCGGCGATCCTTGCGTCAACCGAACCGCCCATTCAAAGGGCCTGACCTGCTGCAGGATCCATGCTCGTCCCTGTGCGCGGCCGTGGGGGGCCTGCTTGCTTTCGAGCTTGGCTGGCCAGCGCTTGCCCGACGCCTTCCGCCCTGGCCTCCCGGCTCGAGGGGGGTGCCAGGCGGCCGCGCACGGGAGGTGCCGTCGTCTGCCTCGCCCACGTCCTCGTCTGCTTCCCCGCGCTGTACTACGACGTGCTCCCGGCGTGGCTGTGGGTGGCGCTGCAGATTGTGCTGCGCCAGTCCATCGCAGGCCTCGGGCACTACCACATCCACCGCGGCAAGGCCTCGAGCACCAGTGGCCTCGGGGCCTGGGGCGACTCCCTGTTCGACATGCAGTACGTCGGCGCCGCCGTCATCCTCTCGGACGGGCACGTCATGCTCCACCACCTGTACACGGAGACGCCCGCGGACGTCAAGCGCACGGTGTTCAACTTCATGCTCCAGATCCCGCGCCTCTGGCGCATCCCCCTCTTCACGCTGTCGAAGTTCGGGGAGTTCTTCAGCGGCCACATGCTGAGGACCGGAGGCCGCACGAGGGGTAAGCTCATCAAGGCCGTCAGGTGTTACATGCTCTCCGAGATGTTCTGGGCGGTCGTGATGGGCAGGGGCCACTGGTGGTTCTTGCAGTTCTTCCTCTGCGTCTGGACCAGCATGTTCCAGATCGTGGCCTCCCACGACTTCGAGGTCGTCCGGGAGACCCAGTCCTACACGGGGCTGGACTGGGGCATCTTCCAGGTGCAGCACGCGCTGGACACCTACGTGACTGGCATCCCGTCGATAGACATCTGGCTGTCCGCGGGTCTCAGCTGCCACAGGGTTCACCACGTGCTCCCGTACCAGAAGTCCGGCTTCGCCAACATCGCCTGCCTCCCGGCGCTCAAGGACCGGGGCCCGCTTAACAAGGGCAGGGTGCTTGCAGCCCTAGGCCTGGTCTGGGGAGCGAGTGGGGGAAGCTTGCGCTTCCTCCTCCCCTCCTCGTCCTCCCCCCTCCGCCTCCCTTTCCTTCCTCCTCCCTTCCAGCGTCACGGCCTCCTCACTCCCCTGCCTCCTGCCTCCTCCCTTTCCCTCCTCTTCCTTCCGACTCCTCCTCCACGCTCCTCCCCCTCCTCCCTCATCCTCATCCTCCTCCTCGTCCTCCTCCTCCTCCTCTCTCATCCTCCTCTTCTTCTTCCTCTTCCTTCTCTCCATCTCATTCCTCTGTTGGGCGAGGATCGTCGATCGAGTGTGGACACTCGAGGATAGTTGTTTGTCCCTCTGGGCTCTCCAGAGACCCCTGTGTAGCCTCCAGTGACCTCTAGCTAACTTCTCGAGGCCTCCAGACGGCATCGGTCGTCGTCGTCGTCATCATCGTCGTGGTCGCCTTCGTCGCCGTGTTGTCGTCTTCTCCCTGTTCTTACTCCTTCTCCCCCCCCTTGCACACCACCTTTTGCTTTGCCCTCTTCCTCGTCCCCCTCGTCATCGTCCTCATGGCCATCCATTTGCTCGTGCTCATGCGCATGCTCCTCCCCCGTGTTCTTCTCTTTCCTCTTCCCCTCCCTACTTGTCTTTCCGAATCTTTCCGAATCGTCCTGCTCTTCTCGTGCTCCTCATCTTACCGAATCGGGCTGCTCTTCTCTCCAATCCTCTTTTTCTCTTCCTCCGCATCTTCGCTTATTTCACCCCCATCCTCATCCTCCCCCTGCTTCGCCTCCTCCCTCTCCCCCTTCTTCATGCCCCCCTCTGTGCGTTTCTTGCACATCGCTTCTCGCTCGTGCGCGTCGTCTCGCCACCCATGCGTTACCTGACAACGCTGCGCGCCGTCTGGCCACAACTTACCCACTCTCCCCCCCGCGTGCGGTCGACGACGTGCAATGCCTCAGGGCCCCATCCGACAACCGACTCAGCGAGTTGGGACGGACCTTGCATAGTGGGGAGGGATGGGAGCCAGGGGTTGGATGTCAGATGTGGCGCGAGCGCGCCTAGCTTGCCTGTCTTCGTTCTCCTCCTCCTCCTCCTCCTCCTCCCCCTTCTTCCCTTCTCATCCTCCCCCCTTTCATCACTTCTTTTCCACGCTTCCTGGGCCACTTGAAGTTTTTTTCGACATCTGTATGTACCTGAATATAATAGACATATGCGTAGTACACGCGATATGTATGTATGTATGTATATATATATATATATAAAAAAATCGAAATCTACACAACACCAGGTATACACACACATATATATATATATACACATTTATATACACGTAATATCCATATATGTATCGATGGCGAGCGGGTGAGACCGCAGTGAAACGGAGACCCCCCCATCGGGAAATCGGTTTCGGTTTCGTGTTCGTGTCGCACGTGCGGGCGAGGCGACGCTGCGTGGGCGGGCGAGAGGAATGACGTCTCCTCTGGCCAGGGCGCCGCGGGGCCAGAAGACCGCCCCCCTCCGGGTTGTCTGGCGGTGGCCGGAGGTGTCCCGCGGGTGTCCCGCCAGTGCCCCGTCGGTGTCCCGTCGGTGTCTCGTAGTGAGGTTGATAGTGAGACCGAGCCGATAGTGAGACCGATCGTGAGACCGATACTGAGACCGATCGTAATATCGATAGTGATATCGAAAGTACGATCGACATACTGAGATCCATCGTGAGATTGGTCGTGAGATCGATTGAGCGAGACGTTGGTCCCCCTCCCCACCCGAACCCCCCGATCACCCGTAGGGTGGTTGTACAGGTAAAGAGAGAGAGAAAGCGAGAGACGGAGAGAGAGAGAGAGCGATCGCGGGAACAGAGACATAACATTATATGATACGATATGAAATAAAATTGCATGGTATGACATGGTATCGTATGTTATGATGTGGTATAATGTTCTATGAAGCGATATGGAATGGCATGAACTGTTGTGCTATGCTGTGATACGATATGGCATGGTTGTATGTGGCGTTGTATGGCATCCTATATTGTATGGGATGGTATGGTATGCTGTGCTATGGCATGGTATGTTATGATAGGACATGTCATGATATGAACAGAGAGTGAGAGTCAGAGAGAGTGAGAGGGAGTGAGAGAGAGTGAGAGAGAGAGTGAGAGAGAGGGAGCGTCCCGTGCTCCCCGCTCTCGCCGAGGACACGTGCAAGGAGTTCGGCGTGGAGTGGGCCCCGGCACGGAACCTCCTCCTGGACCGCCCGGCGGGCGCTCTTCGCCCGAGACGCCCTGCCCCCCTCCTTCGGCGTCACCCTAACACACTGATACTATGTGTGCGTCGCCCTTCCAGGGGCGACGCGCGCAACGAGAGAAATCTTACAGCACATGTGTCGTGGCGGGTGCTTTCTGGCCACGCCGCTCGCGAAACGATCTACCGCAAGATGGGTATACGGTATGTTCAGGTCGGACGCGCGCCTCCAAGGAGGACACACAGTACGACAAGCCTCGTCAAACATATCCAGAAATGGAGGCTGAAATCCTGGAGCACGACGCTTTCGGGCACTTGTCAGAAAGTGCGTCCGTCAATGCTGAGAGGGTGGGGTCGGCTTTTGGACAACACCGCGTCAACAGGCATCCGTCAGCATTGGAGTAGCGCTGACCCCACAATTACCGAATTCAGAAGCCTTCTCTCTATTTTTGACGAGGCTTGTAGTACGTCTCTGTGCGTCCCACTCCTCGTCCTCTCCCCTCCTCGGCCTCCCCGGGCGGGGGCGCCGCGGGATGCCATGGCGCGAGCGGGTCCCGAGGGCAACGGCCCCCGGGGTGCTCGCCGCTCTCGAGCTCTCGCCAACCCCTCGATCTCGCCATTTAGGAGACAGGAACGAGCTCTCCAGGAGCCCCTAAGAGCCCCGCCAAGTCTCCGAGACGTCTCCGTGGGGACCCAGCCTCCCAGGAGGGTGTCGGAGCAGATGGGGTCGGAGGATCGCGCCGCATCGCCGATGCATTGACGATGTGGCTCGATGTGGAGCCAGAGTTTCTCCACACCGATGGCGCCGATGCATTGCCGACGTCGCAGATGCATCAGCTGGTGCATCGGCGCTGCATTGGCGATGCGGCGCGACTTTCCGACCCCGTCTACTCGGACCCCATCTAGGAGGCCTCTGCTGACACTCCAGGGAGATTCCCAGGAGACCCCTGCACTCCCAGCCAGACCACCCCATATTCAATATCCACCCACGCTGGCCCTGGACAGCTCCAATCTCCCCACGTCTGCCCCGCCCCCACCCCGTACCCGAGTGGACCACCCTGGCGAGCATGCACCGAGTGCATGCTGGTGCTGGTTCATCCTGCGCTGCATGTTGCTCCGAGAGCTGGGCGGTGCAGCGGATCCGCGGGGATCCGCGGTCCCGCAGCCCCGCTCCGGAGCTCCGCGGGCCCGAGGCAGACGCGCAATGCGTGGACCGCTGGCCGCGTGCCGTGGCGTTCTGACGACAAGTGGTAAGTTGGGCATGTTCCTCTACAGGAGGAGCATTCCATGTTAGTCAAAAGTAGCCAGGCGACGAGTTCTCGTGCTCCCGTGCCTATTGTGGACTATGTGTTCACTCCTGCTTCTGTTCCTTCCTGAGCCCGCCTGTAGGAGGACACGCCCGACCTGAGACAAGCGGGCCCGCCGGCTGCTCCCTCCTCCCCCGTCTGCCCCAGCATGCATCCAGCACCGCCCGTGCGCCTCTCGCCCTTCCTTCCATGCCTCTGCACGGCGAGATGACGAAATTCGGCGGCCAGCGAGGGGGGAAGTGAGAAGGAGAAGGCCCCCTTCAGAAGGCGGCCGGACTTCTCAGAAGCCCCCGCGCCTTCGGAAAAGTGTTCTGCGCCTTCCGGAAAGGCTTCTAACTCTTCTCAGAAGGCCAGGGGGCTTCCGAGCCTTCTGAGAAGGCCCGTCCCTTCTCACTTGCCCCCCCCCCCCTCGCTCGCCGTCGAGAGATGACGACATGGGGGGGAGCAACGACTGGACAAGCACCCCACGGGCCTCCAACGGCCCCAGCATTCCAACGGAGCCCGCCTCAGGACCGCTTCTTCCCGCTGATGTACTACTACCTGACCGCTCCCGCCCAGGTGCCCGCCGTGCCGGCGCCGATCATCGTCGGGGGCGGCCAGGGCCTGAAGGGCTTCATCTCGGAGCACCTGCAGTGGGAGCCGCTGCGGTCTTCGGGGGGCGCGATGCTTCCAATCTGCACACCCCCGTCGCCAGGAAGGAGAGGAGGAGTAGGAGGAGGAGGAGGAGGAGGAGGAGGAAGATGAGGAGGAGGAGGAGGAGGAGGCGGAGGAGGAGGAGGAGGAGGAGGAGAGCGCTCCTGGAGGAGAGGCAGCCTAGAGTTTTTGCTCGCAGCTCTTGGGCTCCCTGGACCCACCCCCCTCGGACCCGTGGAGGGGGAAACCCCCGGGTCCAGGACCCGCTGCCACCAGGACCCTTCCACCCCCCTTGTTTGTTGACGTTGGGCGGACTTGGACATCCTACGACTGGCGCCTCTCCTCCAGGAGCGCTCTCCTCCTCCTCCTCCTCTCATTGATTCCTCGTGGCCAGCGGAGGCAACCAATGGAACTGGTTTGTAGCCTACCGCTTGCTTGCCCCTGCTTTGCACTGCGTGGGTCTCATCGCGGTTGTTCTCTCTAGGTCGGGTCCTCTGGCATGTTGTTTGGAGGGCCGCCCTGTGCCGCTTAGCGGTGCAGGGTCGGCTCTTCATCCTTCGTTGCTGGATGGCCCAGCCTTGCTCCCGACGTGTCCAATCCAATCCAATCCTCCTCCTCCTCCTCCTCCTCCTCCTCCTCCTCCTCCTCCTCCTCCTCCTCCTCCTCCCCCTCACGCCTATTCTCTAGGCCTCCAGATGGGGTCGGAGTGGATGGGGTCGGAGGGTCGCGCCGCATCGCCGATGCATCGACGGTGCGGCTCGATGTGGAGCCCGTGTTTCACCACACCGACGTCGCGCCGATGCATCGGCGAGGTATCGGCGATGCGGCGCAATCCTCCGACCCCGTCTACTCGGACCCCATCTGGGAGGCCTCTCTATGTCCCACTCCATGCCACTGTAAGATCTGGGCGCCAGGACAGATTCACCGGGGGCGTTCTGTGGCCCCGTGGCAGGCCCTGCACATGGGGCCCGAGAAGTGGCCGCGGGTGGTAGACGGTCGCAGGCTCCGGCCGTGAGCGGTCCGCAGCGCGGACGCGCCGCCGGATCACGGGCCCTCCGCAGCATGCCAGGGGAGCCGCGAGGACGCCGGCCCCGCTCCAGCTCCAGTGCGGCAGCGATGCTCGGACGTCATCAGCGCGAGGCTGCAGACGAGCTGCTCAGAGGTGGGTGGCGCACTCCCCTCTGATCGGGGCCACTTCCGCCACCGCAGGGGCCAGCCCACGAAAACCGACGAACGAGCTGTGGGCATCGTGGCGATGAGGTCTCGCCTGCACGAACGAGCTCCCCCGTGCGGGAGGGCTGCACGAGGAGCTGCAGGGTCTTCATTCACCGTGAACCGTGCGGGTGCAGCAGCAGGGTGGGCCAAAGCTCGCGCTCCAGACGAGCTTGGCCATGGAGTGCCTGCGCACTCCTCGCTGAGCCGAGCGGCGATCTTCGCCCCCCCCCCCCCCCGCCCAACACCTCGCGCACACCGCACACCGCCCTCCATTCCCCCCGACGGAAGCGGGTGCACGGCATGCCGCGCACCTCAAGCCTCCGCGAATCCCCGGCCGCAGCGAGATCTGCTCTCGCGAGGGCTCGGTGCGTGGCGGTGTGGGGGAGGGGGTGCGCTAACACTTGCGCAGCACGGCAGGCGTGAGGTGTCGCGCTGCGCTGCGCGAGCGGAAGACGCGTGCGATGGGGATCAGCGAGTCGAGGCCCGATGCGCGGTGAGAGCGGCCCGCTGAGCGTATCTCAGGAGCGCTATCTGTTTGGCCTCCGAGGCTGGAATTTATCCATATCCACCGCCTGGAGGGTCAGTTTTCCGAGCCTCGGCAGGCGGTGGATATGGACACATTCGGGCCCCCGGGGGCCGAAATATATCCATGTCCACCGCCCGCTGAGGCACCAGGACGTCGGTTCCCAGGCGGTGAATATGGACAAATCCCCGCCTCGCATCGCATGGCCTGCCTACTCTCGCGCAGATGATCAGGAATGCGCATGCGCTGAGCCATCCAGTGGGCCCGAGCGTCGGCGAGATCATGTACTGCCTCCTCGTCGAGGCGAGGGGGCAGAGCAGACCAGCCTGCACGCCAGCGTCCGTGCCGTGCCCTGTTGACCTGATGCACCATTTTCCTCCTCCTTTCCTCCTCTTTTCCTCTTTCCTCCTCCTCCTCCTCCTCCTCCTTTTCCTCCTCCTCCTCCTCCTCCTCCTCCTCCTCCTCCTCCTCCTCCTCCCCCTCCTTCTCCTCCTCCTGCCGGAGGCGGAGGAGGAGGAGGAGCTGGAGGAGCAGGAGGAGCAGGACTGTCGCCACGGAGGAGTGGTGTCCCGAGGCAGACGGGTCCTCGACCCCGGGCGGCTTGCCCCGGGACCAGCTCTGCCTCCCGAACCCGTGGTATTGGACGGTCCCCGGGGCGGCCCGCGGAGGGCCCCCAGGGGCTCGACAGCACGGGCAGCAGTCCAGGACCCGCTTCGCTCCCAAGACCCGCGTCGCTCCTGCTCACGGCATCCATGATCGGAGGTCGTGGCTGTTCTGCTCGCCCTCCTCCTGCCGGAGCGAGAGGGGGGGGGGAGGGGGGGGGGCGAGAGGAGGGGGCAAACAGGATGAGGAGGAGGAGGAGGCGGATGAGGATGAGGATGAGGATGATGATGATGATGATGATGTGATGATGATGATGATGATGATGATGATGATGATGATGATGATGATGCTGATGATGATTGATGATGATGATGATGTTGATGATGATGATGATGATGATGATGTGATGATGGTGATGGTGATGATGGTGATGATGATGGTGATGATGATGATGATGATGATGATGATGAGGAGGAGGAGAGGAGGAGGAGGAGGAGGAGGAGGAGGAGGAGGAAGGAGAGAAGGGGAGAGAGGGGGACGAGAAAGGAGGGCGAGGAGGGGAAGAGAAGGGGGAGAGGATGACTGGGCAGCGTGGAAGTGCCGCGTCCCTCAGGTTTGGGCTGCAGGCTCGCGGCTGCGAAACGCGCCCGCCCCGGTGCCATGCTCCTCCCTGCCTTCTCTTCCTCGCTTCATCCTTCTTTCTTCTTCGTGTGTCCTTCTCATATCCCTTCTCCTCGCCCTTCTCCCTGCTCCTGCTCGTGCTCCTCCACCCCCCTTATCCTCGACCTCCTCCTTCCCGTTCTCCTCCTCTTCTTCTTCTTCTTCTTATTATTATTATTATTATTATTATTCTTCTTTTCCTTTTTCTTGTTCTTCCTCTCTTCTCCTCCTCCTCCTCCTCCTCCTCCTCCTCACCCCCTGGGATCACATTCCATTGCGTCCAGGACTCAAGTATGAAAACAATGTTGGCGAGTTATCGCCTGCGCCGCCACCTCTTCTAACCGGAGTTGTGATGATTATGCCTATCCTACGTGGCGAGGGCAAGGCCGAGTTGCGAAGGGATGTTGTTCAACAGTTGTCAGAGAATAGAGATCAGTTTCTCAAGGGCATAGAAAACGCCCCTACCATGGTTTACGAGGCGTTGTGCGTTGAAACTCCTGTGGGTTGACAGGGTAATCCCTGTGATTTGCCGCGTCCTGGCGGCTCTAGGCTTTGGGGGTTCCCAGGAGGTTTACAGACCACGCACTTGTAACCCAGGGTAGGGCCGTTTTTTTTCATCCCTGAAGTTTCGTCAATTGGCGAGTCGAGTTGCACCTGATGCACTCAGGGAAGCGATGGGGACCACCCTGTGCACGACTGGCGCTTGCCATTTTGAACAAGCTCCATTCGCCCCCAGCCAATTGGAATGTGCTGAACGGCGGCGGCCGCTGACGGCCAGAGCTTTCTCGATGAGGGCTCACAGACGGTTGGACACATCGGCTACAACGGCTTCACTTGGAGCTACTTCGAATATGGCAGTTCTGCAAGATGATACGGATGTGCTCGGGACGTTGGGAGAGGAAATTGTGAAGAGGAGGAGGGCCTGACTGCAAAACCAAATGATGCCGAGACGCAGCTGAAGGAGTCATCATGCGAGCTTTAACGACAGCGATGACGCTCCAGATTGGCAGCCAAAGAGTTTTTCATCGAGCAGGCTACAGAAGCGCGGCAAGGTCGACGCAGGCATCAGACAACCATATTTTCGCTACAAGCAGCTCGATGCTGATTTGTGGCGCGTCATCGTGATGGGCGCATTCCAGGTGTCGCTACTGTCAGTAACGAGGTTTCGTCTGACGTGTGGCAGCGTGGGCGTGGAGAGGGCGGCATGCGCGTCGAGGAACTCGATTGGAACCACTGGCGCAGAAGGAGGGACGAGCATTCTCCGCCGACTGTGCGTAGCTGGGCAGCTAGCGAAGGGACTTTTCGAGCAGCCGAGGATTACGCCGAGCTGGCACCATACTTCAGGAAGACCACGGAGCGACGCTCTGTTCCTGCTCCAGCTGAGTTGTGGGACCTTCGCTCCTCGGCGAACAAGGAGGCCCAGGGGAGGCAACGCAGCCTTGGGTTCTACATCTACGCCCTTGTCTCTGCGATCCTCGTCGCCTTCTGCGTGCAGGTGGCGATGCTCAAAGGATTTTCGGCGACCTTCCAGTCGCACGCACTTGCACGCGCAGCCTCCGGTCACCCGTGCCGGTAGTTAGGACAGGGCGGAGTTCTATCGAGCTCGTCTGCTTTTTTTTTTCTCGTTTGGGGCGTGCGACCGTGCTTCGCACCGACATCTTGCCTCATGTACACACACCTGCAAGCTGGGGCTCAAGATTGACATTTTCAAGGAATTGCTGATGGGCCTTCTCACGATACGCATGTCGGACATGGCGCTCTTCTACTGGTCCCGCGGCACGGGGCATTAACTCAAGCTGCCTTGGGCAAGAAGGTCATTCACCCACAGCCGTTCCTCAGCAACGGGGTTCTTCGCCAAGTGGCTCTCGGTCAGAGTGACGCCGCAGGCTTTCGGTGTTGCCTGGCACGGGAGACGGGGGAGTGCTATCTTGGCCACGCAGTTCTTGTCATGGAGTATTGGAGAAACCAAAGATAGGTTTCGTCCACACGATGAAGCGTCTTCCCAATTCATCTGGCAGTGTATGAT